TGATAAAAGCTAACCACTCTCACCTCATCTGATTGGGGTTCGATTGGACTGTTATGCCCAATCAAACCACAAGCGCAAATACAAGGATGAAGGGAGGACATGTCCTTCCACATTTTAAAATTACACAATACAGTAGTGGGCGGCATCGAAAAAAAGCCTATAATACTGATAATTAAGGCCCAATCCCATTTCTTATTTTTAGCCCTACCCCTTGTTTTCGAGTGTCACCTTGCCCCTCGGAGCTGAGTCACAACAAGTAGTGGTTGAAATCTTCCCCTATGAAATGGGACCCTCAAAAAAAAATCAACATTACTTCATCAACAGCTACTAGCGCTGCTCTGTAGGCGACCCGGCCCGTCTGCAGTGACAGCAGAGGAGGGTAAAATTCAGCTCCTCACTGCTGGGCTTTAGTTACATTTAGGGCATCATATGCTTTCAAAGAGGGGGCAATTATTTATTATCGCCCACCCCTAATTCTTCAGTGATATGAAGCTGAAGTCAGATATTCACCAGCTTCTTGTTCGAATTTTCCCATTCCACCTTAAATGGTGCAGCAGTTACATTCTGGCGCTTCAGGCGTCAGAACTGCTGGACTATTTAAGGTGGAACGGGAAATTTAGCTAGCTAGCTAACGAGTTATCAGCATACTGTTAGCGATTTTTATACTTGTTATGAAGAAAACGACCATAATACACAGAAACGACATTAAACTAAGATAATAGAGTGATTATTGTAATTTTTTAACAGAGAAAATTCTCACATTTGTGGGTTTCTTTGGTCTCTTGTTCTCCATCTTGCCGGTTTTTCTTTTTTTCTCATAACTCTCTGTTTGGAGTCTCTGAAAAACCTCCGTTTGGAGGGTCAATATAGCCCCAACACTTCAGCCTACCCCTCTATCTCAACTAAAATTGTGACACTCTACCCCTAGACGTGAACGCGCAAAACGGAGGGTTAAGGGGTAACCGGTGGGCCTAAGTGTTCCCCACAATATTTAACTGAATTATCACAGTAACAGTCCCCACTGATGGAAAAAAAACAAAATTACTGCCAGTTTAAGAACCTAAGATAGTATTCCTGCATATAAAGGACTTTTAAATTAACTGATAATGTGAATAATCTTGTACATCAGGTGAAACGAGCCGTTTCGAACAGCATCAGGCGAAATGGCTTCAGAAAAGGAGGCGTCAGGCTAAGCTAAGCAGCCTTGGATGATAAAGTTCATGTGGCAGTTCCTTTCTTTCCTTTCAATTTCCTCTGTTTCCTGGTCAAATGAATGACAACAACTGCAAATTTTAATGAACTGTCCTTTTATTTCATTCTTTTATTTTATAAAGATTGAGCTTCATCTCACAAACTATTACTGTTCACTCCTGCGTCAGTTTCAGTGACCGAAAATCACTGGACAAAAAAGTGTTGCTATTATCAACTCTCCTCACCTTGACACCTTAGCCTGATTCTCCACTCACTCGCCCAAATAAGAAGACTCTGTTACTGGCAGTGTGATCAGGGATTAGCCAAGCAGCTAGCCTACCAGCTACCTTTGATATACACTGTGTGATTACTGTCTTTCTATACTAAAAAGCACCAACATTTGGAGCACTGGCTTCATAATGTACAAGAGTTTGCAGTTATTCTCATACATTTTAAAACTTGAATTAAACCCAATATAGACTGTTGTTTCATTTCATTATCATCAGTAACAACAAAAAGAAAGCACTGTGATCATTTGTTGTCTTATGCCATAACGGTTATTAACGGTCTTTCCTATTGTTGCTTAATTATCCAACATTATTGAGATATTTTGATGTAGAAACTTACAAATTCAGAGAGTTTCAGTGACACACTGGAAAGAAAAACTGCCACTGTAATGAGCAATAAAACTGTATCTGTATACTAAATACACACTGATTAGCATTAACATTCAAACCACCTCGTTTTATCAGCTCCACTGCACTTTGTAGTTCTACAGTTACAGACTGTAGTCCATCTGTTTCTCTGATACTTTGTTAGCCCCCTTTTACCCTGTTCTTCAGTGGTCAGGACCCCCATGGACCCTCACAGAGCAGGTACTATTTGGGTGGTGGATCATTCTCAGCACTGCAGTAACACTGACGTGGTGGTTGTGTGTTAGTGTGTGTTGTGCTGGTATGAGTGGATCAGACACAGCAAAGTTTTTAAACACTGTGTCCACTCACTGTCCACTCTATTAGACACTCCTACCTTGTCAGTCCATCTTGTAGATGTAAAGTCAGAGACGATAGCTCATCTGCTGCTGCACAGTTTGCATTGGTCATCCTCTGGTTCTTCATCAGTGGTCACAGGACGCTGCCCACAGGACGCTGTTGGCTGGATATTTTTGGTTGGTGGACTATTCTCAGTCCAGCAGCGACACTGAGGTGTTTAAAAACTCCAGCAGCACTGTTGTGTCTGATCCACTCAGACCAGCGCAACACACACTAACACACCACCACCACATCAGTGTTACTGTAGTGCTGAGAATGATCCACCACCCAAATAGTACCTGCTCTGTGAGGGTCCATGGGGGTCCTGACCACTGAAGAACAGGGTAAAAGGGGGCTAACAAAGTATCAGAGAAACAGATGGACTACAGTCTGTAACTGTAGAACTACAAAGTGCACCTATATAGTAAGTGGAGCTGATAAAATGGACAATCAGCGTAGAAACAAGGAGGTGGTCATAATGTTATGGCTGATCGGTGTATTTGAGTCTTTTTAAGACGATGACCTCTCCATGATGAAAGGAAGTCTAACAAAATCTGATTTGAATAAAGTGTGATGTGACAGTTGGAGAGACCGCTGAGGTGTATACATGCGAGTACGTGTGAAGCGAAGAGCCTGGCTGTCAGTGTGGGCTTGAATGTTGACTCAGCTCTAGGCTCTATTTTCCGCAGCTGCCCAGATCTCAGGCAGGACCCATGTCTTTCTAAGGAAAAGCGTCTGGCAGCCAGTCTCCTGTTCACACCCCTTCTGCCAGCACTTACTCATCCAGTACCGCCCCAGAGATCCATCACAACAGCGAGAACCATGACAGTCTGTCTGCTCTGAGCAGCTTGAACTTTCCTGAAAAGACTGGCAGCCCCAGTGTCACGGATACTGCACATAAAACGCAACGGCAAAAATAATACCATTCCAATCAGAGGTATGTAGTGTTTTCCCCCCACACATGGCACAGCCAGTGCCAGGCCGCTCTGCGCTTCGGCAGTTCAGCATTCCTGTCAGTGTGGGATCGATAAGCAACACCTACTTATGCCAGAAGTGACTAAATGTATTACAGACAAGAACTAATTGCACTTACACTTCCTGTGAATCCTGTTAAATGTAAGGGGGTTTTCCCTTTTTTTAAAAGGAATTTACAGGGGAATTCCAATACTTTATAATTCCATGTAAACATACACATACAGATGTAAACACAGTCAGAATTTCATGGTATGATGCAAAATAGTCCACTGTAGAAAAACCTACAGACTCAAATTTCTTTACAGTGCTGGTGATAGGAATCCAACGCAAATACAGCCATTTTATTTACTGTCCAAATGTACCATTATTGTGATAAATAATAAATAAAAACATCATCTGAGCATATCGTGGATATCACTGCATGTTTATTAGAAAGAGAACATAATTAGACCTGATTAATTGGATTTAATGTGGCACTGTATGTAAAATGTTGAACACAAATGATTCAATTCATACTTTTTGATAGTATTTTTAAAATCACTCTTAAAAAAGAGGTTCTTCAGGGGTTCTTTAGTAAAGAAATTAGTTCTATATAGGACCATAAACACACAAACAACCCTTTGCGTGATTAAAGGGTTGTTTGCATTTTGAAAAGGGTGCTATATAGCACCCAAAAGGGTTCTTCTGTTGCTAGAAGCTTGGCATCATATCAATTGAAGAACGCTTTTGGGTGCTATACAAAAGCCTTTACAAAAAAGGTTCAATATAAGAACTCTTTCATGGTGCAATTAATCATGCAAAGGGTTCTGTGACTGATCATGGTTCTACATAGAAGCATTTTCTTTACTAAAGAACCTTTGAAGAACCATCTTTTTTAAGAGTGTGGGCCTACTTTGTCTATTTTAACTTATCAGATGTCAGAAAAAATGTAAATTGTGGCGCACTGTATATCGTAGAAACTTCTTTAAGTATTAAATAGTGTTTTAAAACACTTACATACTGGTAAATCTGAAAAAAAAATAATAATAATTTTTCTTTAGGGACTATTTTGCCTTACAACGCCTGGCACATAGCTCTCCGCCATCAATGCATTTAAAAAAATAGTTTTAGGCCCAAAATTTCATCTCAAAACATACTGCAAAACAATGTTTCAGGCACCAGACAGCGTATTTCACGCCATTTCATGTATATCTTTCTGTGAAGCCTCTAGCTTTCAGACAGTAAGAGCTTCAGACGTCTGGTTCCTATCACCACCACAGAGAACAATCCCACTCTGCAAGTTTCTCTAGAACGGAGTATTTCACACCAGACCACTCTGAATGACTTCGTTTACATCTTAACCGTTAAATTAGGCAGACTTTATGAAAAAGGGATGAAATTTCTCTATAAAATCACCGTGAAGCTCAGAGCAGATCACTTTCAGAGCACAGACAGCAGCAGCTCCTCATCAGGCGAGCTGACAGAGTTAGTGAGGGTCTTACTTGAGAAACGTATCCCTGTCGCCTTGGCTGAAAGCTTCATAGCTAATAGTCTAATGGAAGGCAACTTCAGCATAATGATGAGTCCAGTCGAGCCGTTATTCTACCGCTAACCCTCCACTGTACATCAGAGGACCGTGCCGGGGATAGAAATCAAACAGAGCCCGGGCTAAACAGCCCAACGATACAAAAGCAGCCGCAGCCAGTGACTTAAATTAGCCCATCAAACAGCGTTATTAGGCTAACCTGACCGAGCTCGGGGAAGATGACAGTGACCCTGTTAGAACAGTTCCGTCTAGTAAAGCTGTTAAAACAGAAACTTTACCTCAGACGCGTTTCCTCCTCTCCATCCGTGAAACGTTTGGCTGACCGTTAACCGTGAAGTGAACTCTTCGCGCGTGCTGCTGCGCTCGCGGTACCAAAGTTTCCAACGGACTCCGCTTCTGACAGCGTCTCCTCTTCTGTTCACAGTGTAAACTCCCCTCTCTCTCTCTCTCTCTCTCTCTCTCTCTCTCCCTCAAACTCTCTCTCTCCCTCTCTCTCTCTCACTCTCTCTCTCTCTCACTCTTTGAGTCTCTCTCTCTCTCTGACTCTGAGTCTCTCTCTCTCTCTCTCTCTCTCTCTCACTCACTCTTTATGAGTCTCTCTCTCTCTGATTCTCCCTCTCTCTCTTTATGAGTGTCTCTGTCTCTCTCTCTCTCTCTCTTTATGAGTCTCTCTCTCTCTCTCTCTCTCTCTCTCTCTCTCTCTCTCTCTTTCTCTCTGAGTCTCTTTCTGTGTCGCTTTCTCTCTCCCTTTCTGACTCTCTCTCTCTCTCTCTCTCTATCTGACTCTCTCTCTCTGAGTCTCTCTATCTCTGAGTCTCTTTCTGTGTCGCTCTCTCTCTCCCTCTCTCCCTTTCTGACTTTCTCTCTCTCTCTCTCTCTCTCTCTCTCTCTCAGCAGGGGGTTTTATCGGGTGTGGGTGGATGCAGCGTCGCTCGTGCACTCGAGACACTCTACAGTTCAGCACTGAAAATAAGCTCAAGCACAGTATGAATATCACCCAGAACTTTCTTCAGAAGGAAATACGCTGTAATCATATGAAACAGAGGTTAGGTGATTCACAAGTGACTGTAGGCTGTGGAAAATAATTTATGAACATGAATAGAATTTATATATATATATATATATATATATATATATATATATATATATATATATATAAATTATTATAATTATATATAGACTACACGGGGAGAGCCCAAACTTCTTGTGTAGGGGTGCCAACATGCGAAAAAGACAAATCAGCCTATAGACAAGAAGGTAGGCATTACAAATCAAGTAAAAAAATCAAAAATAACAAAAATATATAAAACGAATAATTACAGTCCTAAAATCTGATTGGCTGAGTCGTATTCTGAGCTGTTGTAAAACACCAATATACTCAATATCAAAAATTACTGTGCTGTTAATGCAATAACTTTGACTGTAATGCTGCTCACATGGACCACAGTGTACTAATGAAGTAAGAACCAGTTTTTTTGTTTAAACTGAGGGGCTGACGACTTATTTTCTTAATCAGAACTGGGCTGTTCAGCTAGCAAACAGGCCAAAAGATAGCAAACATGCTAAACGACTCCATCATTAACATCACAGGCTTGAATGAAAGGTGCAGCGATGTTAATCCAACATCAAACTCAGTGAAGATCTCGTCACGTTCCTCTAGCTGTCCGTTCTGTGTGCTTGCTGGAAAAAAATCTGGTGATTTTACACGGCCCTGTCTGGCTCTGAAGATGGGAAACAAAGAATATGGTTCGGACACACACCCCCTCTCATGGCCTGCTGCTTAAATTTATAACATTGCACATTAGTTTGTTATCAAATTTGTTAACAACAATTAAATAAGAAAAATATGCATTAAATAAGTTGTTTATGATATTTAAATATGTTTATGGGGTTAGAGTAACTTTTTTGCAGGCCAAATCAAACATTATCACCACCTGCTCTACACCCTCAAATAAAAAGGTGGTTCTTTTTTTTTAACGATTTTCTCCCCAATTTAGTCGTCTCCTATTCCGCCCCCCTAGTTAGGACTCCCCCAATCACACGATACTACCAACGCTAGGAGGGCGAAGGCTAACACAGGCTTCCTCCAAGACCTGCTGGAGATTCACCACCTGCAGAGTTCAGAACCAACACACCTGGCTCTTACGTTCAGATGCCCCTGACAGCCTTTGTTACCTGGATCAGGTGTGTTGCAGTAAAGTTTCTGTGTGATTTCTGTGTTTCTGAGTTTTTACATATCTTAAACAACAAACGTTCCTATGCTGACAGATGCTGGATGTTCTAAGAGGTTCTACTGCACTTCTATAGGGCAGCTGTGCTAAATTTCCTTCAGGATCAATAAAGTATCTGTCTGTCTGTCTATCTATCTGTCTGTCTGTCTGTCTGTCTGTCTGTCTATCTATCTATCTATCTATCTATCTGTCTACCTACCTGTCTGTCTGTCTGTCTATCTATCTATCTATCTATCTATCTATCTATCTATCTATCTATCTATCTACCTGCCTGCCTGCCTGCCTACCTACCTACCTACCTACCTACCCATCCATCCATCCATCCATCCATCCATCCATCCATCCATCCATCCACCTACCTACCTACCTACCTACCTATCTATCTATCTATCTATCTATCTATCTATCTATCTATCTATCTATCTGCCTACCTACCTACCTACCTACCTACCTACCCAGCTACCTATCTATCTATCTGTTCTCCAATTAGTGGTTTAAGAACCCCAAACAGCCCAAATTTTTGCTTGATCCCAACTCGCAACACATAGGGATAAACCAAAAGTATGGACCAACTGGTGTCCGGATTGAGAACTACTGCTACAGTGAACTCAGTACTCATCCAATCACATATTACTGTTGTTAACCATCTTTGAAGTGTACAGTTTAGTTCCTTGCGTTAGCTCCTGGGCCACATCCAAGGCAACCTAACTTGATGTTACTGAGCTCTGCTAAAGCCTGAGTAGACTGATAAATCAACAGTGGACTGAAGCAGGGAGCGAGAGAGAAAAAAAGTTTATTCACTAAGTTTTTTTTCCAACCCTGTGTTTAATATGTACTGTGTGATACTTAGTGAGGAAGGAGTCTTACCTTATCTTTCCTCAGTTTCATAAAGAAACCGCATTGAATCCAAATTCAAAATCAATCACTGTGGATTTCATGACAGCTTTGGCTAATATATTCTGTAAAAGCATACAACTTGACTGTGAACCAGCAGTTGTTTTCCTTGTGTCAATATTACTGATGATATTTCACTCACTGTAAAAATAATAGTGTATTTTAGTGATGCAGGTGCTCCTGGGATTCCTGATAAGTGTATAAAGAAGACAAAATATTAGTCCAACTGACTGTTAGCCTTCTGGTAGTTAACTTGGCCAGGAGTTCCAGTACACACATCAGTCACTTCCACAAGATCACATCAATTAGAGAGGCAGCCAAAAAACGTTCATCTCCAGATTTTATAGAATAAGTCCACAAAGCTCCACTGCGCTGTATAGTTACTGATTATATGATAACATATTTTATTTATCATGAACTTTGGTCAACCACAGATCCAAACTTCCAGTGGAACCTTCAGAAGAACATCCAAGACCTCTTCACAGCCAATCCACTTTCCCAGTGATGCTAAAATGAGTCATAGGAGGAGATTAAGGAGAAAATAATGGTGCGTAATGCTGCGAGGGCAGCAGTCATTGGGTATTTATCATCAATAGGGCCATAATTAGAGGAGTCCTAATGTGGCCAAATGCTAACGTGGCTATAAGTGAATGAAAGTTAATGGGTGTTGGGTTGGATGACATCACTTATGTCATTCTGAATAGCCTGGTTTTTAATTTATTATTGTATTGTGAGCATTTTTGGATGGAAATAATTCTCTTAGCATTATCACTTCAAGACTATGGGCAGTGTCTCAGTAAAAAAGATCATTTGAACATAGAATAAGCACAGCAATACGTTAAAATGATCTCTCAGTTAACCCCCTAAAATCTCAGGCTTATTAAATACCACGGCTTATTATTCAGTATCTACAGGGACGTCAATGCAAACTAAGAGCTATTCTTAGGTTATAGAAGTGTGCAACAAATCTTTGGGCCCCACCGGTGGGCCCTGGCCATGTAATGGGTTAAAATCAAGTAAAATATGGTAAAATAATGTTCAATAAAAAAGTCTAGGTATGTAGATACTAAAGGATTCCTCACATAGGGGACTGATTATATGGGAGCTATAACATTAGATGTTTCATCACCATTAAAATACAATCCCATTTCCAAAAAAGTTGTGACGCTGTGAAAAATGTAAATAAAAAACGAAATGCAATGATTTTTAAATCATTTAAACCCTACTAAATATTTTATTAAAAATGCTTCAAAGACAACATATCAAATGTTGAAGTTGAGAAATCTGGAGAAATCTCTGTATGTAAGGGACAAGAAACAGTATTTCCTGTCTGTGATCTTTGGGCCCTCAGGCAGCACTGCATTAAAAACAGACATGATTCTGTAGTGGAAATCACTGCATGAGCTCAGAAACACTTCTGAAAACCACTGGGAAACTGTTCATCACTGCATCCACAAATGCAAGTTAAAACTCTAAAACGCAAAGAGAAAACCAGATATAAACAGGATCCAGAAATGCTGCCACCTTCTCTGGGCCCGAGCTCATTTAAAATGGACGGAGTTGAAGTGGAAAAGTGTCCTGTGGTCCGAATCAACATTTGAAATTCTTTTTAGAAATAATGGACACTGTGTCCTCTGGGCTAAAGACCACTCAGCTTGTTATCAATGCACAGTTCAAAAGCCAGTATTCAGGATGGTATGGGGGGCATTAGTGCACATCGCATGGGTGACTGGGACATCTGTGAAGGCACCATCAATGCTGAATGATATATACATGTTTTGGCAACATATGCTGCCATCCAGATGACGTCTTTTTCAGAGAAGACCTTGATCATTTCAGCAAGACAATGTAAAACCACATTCTGCATGTATTACAACAGCATTGCTCCATATATGCTCTATACAGAGTGTAGTTAAAAGAAGAGGTGATGAAGCACAGTGGTAAACATGCCCCCGTCCCAACTTTTTTGGAACATATTGTTGGCATTAAATTCAAAATGAGCATTTTTTTTATTTTTAAATTAAATTTCTCAGTTTCAACATTATTTTCAATGAAATATAGGATTTAAATTTGCACATCATTGCATTTTGTTTTTATTTACATTTTGCACAGCGTCCCAACTTTTTTGTAAAAGGGGTTGTAAATATAACAACAAATGTGGTTAATGAAACTGTATTATGCAAGACTCGTTAATTTATGAGACTAATCTATGATTTTAAGGCCCATAACTTCACTAACTGTGCTACTGTTATAGAACTAGCTGTTGCGTAATAGTCTTAGACACTATAGTGCTTGGTTGAATTGTTCCTGGCTAAACAGA